ATGACGTATCCAAAAGGATCACTCTGGAGGCAGCCCTCAGACACCCCTTTTTTGATCCTTTGAAAGGAAAGAAAAAGTGATGATGAGTTATATTTCGCTGTTAATTTGCTCTCCCGGGGAGGCTTCTATAGGCTGCATCAGCCTGCTGTGAGACTTATTTCGTCTGTATTAAAGTTATTTGTATGAATATAAATGAGATACCTTTTGCTGTTGTCTTTTCAGAAATAAAACCAGGTTAATCTTTTTTTGTAAATGTTTGTGCTTGCTTCATCTATCCAGAACTTTGAGGTGCCTCTCGGACCCAGAATTTGACGTTGCGTTATCATCCGTCCATTTCCTGAAACTGCTTGTCCAATACAGGGTCTGTCCTGGAGACTGCGGGCGCTACATTGTTAACAGTTTATGACAATAAAACTACTGCATGTTGTTTCTGTAAAGCTGGAATCAGTGAGATTAGTTTGCAGTCTAAAAGCAGTGGACTACAGATCAGTTGCACTGTTTCGAGACCTGTGCAATTCTAGGCTGGAGTTGTTGAACATGCATCGACCGGGACAGCGACGGCCACATAAGCCCCATGCAGACCGTCCACTGTGGGCCGGCTTACCTCCGATTCACTTTGTAACAGTCAGTCTGCAGCATGGACTCCAGGCCACCGATCTTTGGCTTGCAGTGCCTCAGTTGGTGCTCTGTGTGGAAGCAGAGTACTGTGCATACATTTCCTTTGAGGCCAAATCGCTATCTTCTCCTGGAATGAGGGGGAAAAAAAATGGATGTCCTTGATATATTACAGCGATGTTTGAAAGTGGTGTGTGTATTTTCTGTGAAGATTTTCTTACACATTCAGCGAGGTAGTTACTATTGTGAAATGTGCATTACACGATTCCTCACTTTAAAGTTTTCAAAATTCACCACACTAATACCATACATTCATGTAAAACTTGTGAAAGTGAGTAAATCAGCCTTTAAAATGGACATAACTGAGTAAAATCTGAAAACTCTTTGCTCATAGCTCAGAGTATGGCATGGAGTAAAGTACTGATCTATGAAGAGTATGCATTAAAGCATAAGGGAGTAAAGTACTGGTCTATGTAGAGTATGCATTAAAGCATAAGGGAGTAAAGTACTGGTCTATGTAGAGTATGCATTAAAGCATAAGGGAGTAAA